ATCATCAGCTGCTTTCAATATGAAAGATTTACAATGGTTTATGTTTTTATAATCAGATCGCAAAACGAAGTAGACCGTTGAACATTATTCAGAAAAAATGGCAAATTTCGACACGGTTTCACGGCTGTTTAAGCCGAAACTTCAAATACATAGGGTCTTTTATCTCAAAATATTAATGGAAAAATTTAGAAAGAAAATTATATTCATATAAAATTACTCACAACGATAGCCCAGGAATTAAAAACACCCATTATTACATTGCCAAACATTCAACATTTGACTAGTAAAGTTTTAAAAATACACACCTATTTACTCTGCACACCTCGGGCTTGAGTAGTGAAACTGTTTGGCTATCTTTTTTTTTTTTTGCTCATACTGTGGACAATAAGTTCAATGCCCGGTCCTGTTGAAGAACGTTTCGGGAATAAAATGTTTATCATATTTCCAGGATAAATTGTAAATTCTCTTCTTTTGTTGTTAACAAAGTGTCGAGTTATCGATAGTTTAACTAGTTAGTAATAGCACAGGATAACATACATAAAGGCCCAAACGCAATGTGGGCGGAAGCGGAACGGAAACAGAAAGTTTGACAGTTGTCACTAATGACATCAAGATGACTAACCGAAGTCGATTTGGATCTAACTAGTTTTCAATCAGACAAGTAGGCTTACTCAGATCGGGTTTTTCCGCTGCCGTTGCCGTTCCGCTTCCGCCGTCATTCCGCTTGGGCCTTAACACTGCGTGTTAGATCAACGCACATGCATTTACTGCTAAAATATATGATATAAATAATACAGATATTAGCACAGACATAACTTTTTGAACTATTTTTCCTTGGAAACATAATCTCGGAACTCAGTAACAAAACCTAGCGAGAGCTATCAGCGCAGCATAAACTTGCTTGCTGTTTAGCAAATAAGGTTGTATACAATTAGAATGGAATGTACAAACTCATCAAATTTAAGTGTTACAGCTGTTTGTCTGTAGTTACAGCTGTTTGTCTGTAGTTTCACGGCGTGATTACATCAGATTACTTTGACGCATATTGTGTCCAACATTGTTTGCGATTTATCATTTATTCTTCTTTGACTTTATTACGGGACTGGGACTGTACGTCCCAACAAACAATTTGAGTTAATCAACAGCTGAATAAGCCATTTTTTAGCTGAAGAAGCTTATTTTTGCCTGTTGTTTGTTAGGGTTGGCTCTCAACTTAGTATGTAAATTCCTAGAGCGGACTGGAAGCTGTACCCAGTCACCTCCAGCATAGTCTTGCTCTATCGCCTTTATCGACTGAGTTAATGGGGGTCGATTTCTTGGAAGATTGCAGTAAAGCTCTTTGCAGATGCCGCAACAGATGTTACCAAAACATCCTTCCAATACAACCTTCGAGATGTGGAGGAAAAAGACGTTATTCCGATCAGACTGATGTGCATCTTTAGGTAAACTCAGGCCCTGGAAAACCTTGTAAATCAAGTAATATAAAAAAGGTGCATTTTTGACTTTTTCAGATGGATTTTCATAAGAAATGTTCCTTTTATTTCACGACACCGTCAATGCTACAACGCACAGAAAATGCACACAAAAGTAAATTTCTTAAGCTGCTCAAAATAAAAATGATTTGCTGCTGTGAAAACTATCTAGAATCATTAAAAAGTAGAGTTGTTGCGTAAATAAACTTCAGTTGTATTTTCCATCGAAATTTGTGAGTATCCAAATGTTTCCCTAAAAATGATTATTATGATCTTTTATTGAATAACAGTACCTTAAACAATAATGTTTTCAAACAATTAAACAATAAAGCTTTCCTTTGAAAATTCACTCGATTTCCACTTTTATCTCAGTGTAAATCACAATTTTCACTATTTTCCTAAAAATGTAGTACAAAACTGTTATGGATAATTTATCGTAAAACATCATAGTACCACAGTAGAAGAATACTAGTCTTAGTTACCATTTTTTTTCCTACGCGATTAAAGCAACAGCTTTCCCGGAAAAAGATTATCTTTATGTAGCGATTTTCCCTAACAATTGCCTGCTTCCATTGTAGAAATTCGCAACCATCATCATTATAGCAGTTCTCACTTTGAAAGCTGTGGTCTAACACGTTCAAGGAATCGAAAATATCTTCAAATGACAAAATGACAAACGAACAATATTCTTCCTTTTTTCATGACAAGCCGCCCGTGCGACAGAACTCACCCGGAGCGGTAGAAGGAAACGAGCAAATTGTTGGCAAGCTGCTTCACGAAGTAAAGCCAAAGATGATACACGTGTGTTAATGGCTATTCTTTTTTGTTATGTCTTTTCTCGATTCAGATCAAGCTATGTCCTCATCCATGTATATTGAAACAAAGTAGGCAAGCAATATATCATTATCCTTCTACCACTCCGATCGAGCTATGTTACAGAGCGAGTTTGTCATGGTAGTCGTAGCAACCGTTTTGTCTGTATCGTTGGTTGCTTTATGTGTTTGGATTCGCAGGACACGTTGCTACAAAGTGACAGCTAAATCTATTGTTTAACTGTCAAATTTATGTCAACGTAACGCAAACGGATCTAATGTGAGTGACCTTTCATTTTAAACTAATAGCTCTCCATTTTCGTTACTGAGATCCGTGATGATGCTTTCAATGAAAAGTTGTTAAAACCGTTACGTCTGTATATCTGTCAGAACAATTAAACATGTGATGTTTTTTAACATTTGATTTTGATACTCCACTTGCTTATAGAAAGCCATCAAGAAAGAAACTAGCCTCTTGTTGTCTAAAATGGCTTGTCTGTTCCAAAACCGGATGAAACTTGAAGTTTTTGGAGTATCTCTCACAAAAAATTCCAGTTCACAAAGCATTGAAAATCTCTCAAAACTAATAAGTCTGTACAATATTTGCATTTGTATATTATACGGAAAATACAATAATGCCCAGGGAAATCTAGAAATATACCCGAAAAATTCCGTGGCAGGACCGAGAATTAAGCTCATCGCCTCTGGAATGTTGCCACTAGGCGACCAGTTGAAACGTTAAAACCAAAAATATGGTAAAGTCACATCAGTATTATGGATCACCCACTATGGACCATTTCCATTTCTCGATGAACATTTCAAATAGACCTATCTGCTTTGATCGATTCTCTTCATCGACTTTCTCTTTTGATAACCACTGCTATGCGAACAGATTTCACGCTAATTTTACCACATCGTTTGATAAAGGAGGTTCTTATCTAGCGTCCAAAACGTCAAATACAACAGAGATAGGTTTTGCAGCTGAGTTATTAACGAAATAGAAAGTCGATAAAGAGAATCAATCAATGCAGATAGGACCTTTTGACATGTTTATCTAGATTTGATTAACACGCAGAACTGACTAACCCATAAAAGTAAGTTACAAGTTGGTCCTGGGGGCTGTATAACGAGAACTGATAATTCTGTTGAAATTTGAGCTGCAAACACTGTCACGGTCCACTAAACTAACGTGAAATCCAATGATACTATTGACTGTTTTTACACTTTATTACTTGACAACAAGTAAGCAGTAAATTTTTGTGATAAGACATTTCTGATAAATATAATACTGTCTAGGAACAGATTTCAGCAGGTTCTACATGTCCTACGTTGTGTTTAAATATGTTTAATATCACTCACATAACACTGGATAGAATAGAAAACAAACACTTTCGAATGTAAAATTCAGCACAAGCATTTCAAATAAACGAAACTTCAAATTTAAACAATGACTACAATCGCATAAGCTAACTTATTTACACAGTTGAAATAAAATATTATTGACTATTGTTAGTTTGCCTGAAATCGAAAATTGAAGCCATTGTTTACTAACGTATTTGAAAACAACATAGATTATATAGAACCTGGTGAAATCTGTTTCTTTTAGAATTTTTTTAATGATCAGAAATGAATAATCACAACAATTGCCACATTGATTTGTTCTTAGTTTTTCAATACAAATTAAATGTACTGAACTGAGCAGTGTGAGTGTGTGTGTGTGTGTGTGTGTGTGTGTGTGTGTGTGTGTGTGTGTGTGTGTGTGTGTGTGTGTGTGTGTGTGTGTGTGTGTGTGTGTGTGTGTGTGTGTGTGTGTGTGTGTGTGTGTGTGTGTGTGTGTGTGTGTGTGTGTGTGTGTGTGTGTGTGTGTGTGTGTGTGTGTGTGTGTGTGTGTGTGTGTCTGTGTGTGTGTGTGTGTGTGTGTGTGTGTGTGTGTGTGTGTGTGTGTGTGTGTGTGTGTGTGTTTGTTTATGTGAAAACTATATGAATCGATACAGGAACATTTTCAATTTTTATCCACAGGATAATTACGTGCACGATAATATACATTCTACAGTTCTTGCCTGCCCTTATTCTGATTGTAAACCGCTGAAAGATTCACAGCTATTTTTTACGTATTAATACAGTATGGTATCAAACTAATATATTGTTGAAAATATTATATATTTTATAATATTATTTGCTCGAAACTTTATCAAACAGAAAGGACTCTATTACTGGTGCATAGATTTAATATTGATGGTTCAAATATCAATTGCTGGTTGGAAATGCTAAATCTTACTTCTATGTTTCTACATGGGTCCATCTTGCATGGGATTTATAAATAGTTCGGAGCTTGTAGGAAGGATCCTGGTTTTAGATAGGGGAAGTGTACCAGTTATGGTACTAGTGATCCTCTATTTGGTCATACGGCCTAAAGCCTAATTAAACTCAAAATTCAAATCCACGGGAAGTTAGTCTCAATGCCGTTATTTATGCCTACGTTTAAACATATGAAAAACTTATTTTTAACTTGAGTTTGTCCATATGCACAACTACGGGAGCACTAATGCAACAATTGGCACATTTTCCCTCCTTATATTTTTCCCGTAAATTATCAAAATATTGGAAATTGACCATCAATCAAACAGTCGCACCGGAACTAAAGCGCTATGAGTAATCTTTTCGTATTAGACTATCTTGGAATCACTTAAATCGGCAGTGTTAGTCGTGTTAGCAATCTGCATATCTATCAGCTGACCTCACTGTTAACCTTAACCGTAGACAACGGACTTGGCAGTGAGATAGTATTTAATGAACCCATTCAATGGTCGAATAACTGCATCTTTTACCAAATTTCTGGAAATCAAGTTCAACGATTCTCGCTTCAGCTGCAGTCTGTTAACATTTTCGTAGGGTTTTGTATCAAACGAACGTTTGATTGAGTTTTTATGAAAGTGATATGTTCGTTGCAGATAAGGTGGCACATAATAATCGGATGGAGCAAACCGCAGCGAACATGACTCCATCGCGTAGTTTTCAGCGCTGAAAGATCGCAAAGCAACGGTTAGTGGGGGTTTGTTTGATTTGTTGATCACATGTGCTAGCGACACGTGACCGTGAAGATGCTGTCAACGTTTTGGTGATTTCCTACCGAACATTGGACACTCATTAAGTTTCTAATCGAGATAGAAGTTCAAGGTTTAAGGTATTGGCTAAACACAAACAACATGCTAGTATTCTGGTCGAAACGTTGAGGCGGTGCTAATGCTAACCAATTCTAATCCTATTATCGTAATGCCATCGTTGTTAAAGATAAAATAGTAAATAGTGCAATAAGTTATTAATGTATTAGTATTTACTTAATTGTAAAATCGTACACTAGAATTAAAATAAATAAAATCCAGGCTAAATAGCAATCAAACGAATTTCAGACTTCCCCTCTCAGATTTCCACGATACTTTGTATAATTGTTCGTAATTTGTGCTAGACTTCTATCAGGCAATAAATTGTAGCATGTATTGTCTAATCAACATGAAGTCTGCGACAAAGTTGTGGGAATGACGAAATTAACCCCAATTCCTTGACTAGTTGGCCACAATCCTTTATGAATAGCTATTTGTAAAATCGTGACATACTTTTGCCGCACGCAATAGTGCGCTTTTTATTAAATGTTTCACAAAAGTCTATTTTAATTGAATGAATGCTTTCTAAATTAATAACAAATCAAAATTGAACCTTAGTTCGTCATCTTTACGCACATATTATTTTCATACACTCATCTGTTTTATTTGTTCATGTGTTGAGAGTTGGAGTGAAAATTTAGCATAAAATCGTACAAATCTGATGCAATTAATATGTTCGGTAATATTATTAAATCATAATTAAAGAATAAAAACAGGTTCTATCAACATTTTTCAAAATTGAAACGATTTGACCACCATTCTAAGCCATTCGTACACTTGCCCCACTCGACGTCAATACTGTCTGCTGAAACATACCATAGAAAACCTATAATATAGACCAATCACAATACTGGAATGCTTAAATTATAACCTTCGACCGTGACATCATAATACCGTTTCCATAAAATTGTAAACATTTCATACTTCTCGTGATAACTTTTAGGTGGATTATTTGAAATACACAATATTTTTCTAGTAAGCTTGCGGTTTATTATCATTGGTTCATCATTTCGTTCAGACTTCTTGTACTTAAGCAACTTGCAAACCTATTTTCTTGGATAAAAGTCTGGACTACCATTGTAAAGGGGATTAGCTGTTTCTTTTCTTTTTCCTAAAAAAGTCACATAGAAATGAAAAGACCTACTCTAATTTCTTCAAAAAGTGAACTGTGGACAATTGACTAACCTTTAGAAAAAAATATTTGCACATTGATGAAATTGAATCTTCTCATAAAACCCATTTTTGCAATTTTTTTTTCGATGAAAGTCGGTTAAAAAAGCTTGTCTGCACTTAAATAAATCTAACAACCCGAGAAAAGTCTGAGATCAAATTGAAATCTAAACTTGATGTTGTGATTTCGCTGATAATGATTACTCAGGTTGCTTTTGGCCGTTTTAACGGTTAAAATATCAAAATTGAGAGCAAACAAATCTACCAAAACTAAATTTGATATCAATTTTTCCTGTTGATAACAAAACAAGTATTCAATTTGATTTTATGCTAAGGCAATGAAAACAAACCGCAACAACATAGTTTTGAAGAGCAAATGTACAGCAAAATGAAAACAAAATTTGGTATCAAATTTGTCCATTGCGTTAACTGCAATCAAATTATGATTTCAATTTTCTGTCATTTTGATGCTGGGCTTTGCTCGGGAATAGTGTCTTTCGAGTTTTCAAACGGAATCCTTTTTTTTTTATTTAACATGCCAAAAAAATGACTAAATCAAACATATGAGCGGCACGCAACGTTTAATAATGATGTGTTTATTACAAACACTATAGAGACACATACATGTGACGAAGTGACATAGGGACACTTTCATTTTATGATTTGTTAAAAAATTCTAATACGGCATTTTAATTTTTTTTTTGGAAAGATTAAAATGGTCGAATTTTATCAAAAATGTGAATTACTTCTCGTTACTAACAATTATGCAATGTTTCATGCAACTTGGAGAAAGTCGCGTCTGATCGATTCGTAATTTGACTCGAAACTGCATAAAAGCGAATATTTATACAAAGTTTAATGGAAATCAGATCGACTCGTCAGTTGACGTGGAAATGCTCAATACTCAAATAGTTAAATATATGATTTTTAACACAGTTGAACCACAGACAAACAGACTTAACTCTTTGAATAAGTTTACTTGAAAACATTGTTCCTCAATTAATAGGACATCAGTAACGGCATCTATCAAGCTTCACTCAGAAAACAAGCTTTCTCGCTCAAATCAGATTTAACAATCAAACATAAGCTCTTGCAGGGGGTGAGCATATTATTTTAGGACTACGAATGAAATGTAATGATTGCAAACATTTGGTAATTTTTCGAAACGTTTGAGTTTCATTTGAAATTCTAGAAGAAAACAAAAACAAATTTTGCTTTTCTACTCAGCTTAAAGCAATCCGCTGTGATTGAATCCGCTTTTTGTGAAATCTTCTCAACCACAACAAAAGATGCGCACACCCCCTATAAATTGGGTGGTGGTGGTGCCCAACCAGCGAATTTCGTCTGTATTCAAATTAATCGGTGAATGCATGAACGATGATCCTGAATAAAGTGTTACGTCTATTTGTCTATGTGGTTCAACCACTGGCACTTGAAATAAAAATAATATGTCTGACTCTCCATTCATCAAGCTTTTGTCTTTCAATCATTTCGCATACCGTAAGATGAGGTGACATTGGACCAAGATTTAATTTTTGATTGATGCCAATATGGGATGGTCCCTCCCCCCTTTGTCACATTTTTTGTATGGCTCGTCACAGTTTTCCAAACCCCCCCTCCCCCCTAAATGTGTGACATAATTAATGGACGACCCCTATCTACATGCAGAAAATAATGAATAGAATATGTTTATTGAAATAGTGCTGAAAATTAAGTTTCATAAATAGTAGCAAAAATACGTTTTTAAAAATGTCCGCAGGCAAACAAAAGTTTGAATACACTTTTATGTGGATAGACGAGGGTTTTAAACCAAATTTATGTTTTGGCCCAATGTCACCCATCATAAGGTTTTATATTGGTATGTGTTTTATTTAATTTTAGTAAAAAAGGGGGCAGAAGAAAAATGATCACTTCAACGTATTCGCCGTCAGGATTGGAGTTCGCCGTTGTGAGGCAGATACGTGTCTGAAGTACGCAACGGAAAATCGGGACCGGTATATCCAGAATAGCCGGACCGGTGCTGTACGTTGATGACGTACTAATAATCGCCAAGGATTTCGGGGAAATCAAAGCTGTCAAACGGATGATGCAGCAAAAGTTTAAGATACAAGATTTTTGAGAAGAGCAGATGTTCCTCGGTATACGCATAAAACGTGACATGATGGCCGGCACTGTGAAGCTCAGTCAGCAGGGATACGTTGAAGCAGTGTTGAAGCGATTCGGGATGGAAGTGTGTAAACCCGAGCAGGAGAAAATAACTGATGAACACACTCAGCTACGTTTTGCTTGTTCGGTAATTTTTTACCGGAAATAATCGGTAAATTTAGTATATTACAGATTTTTCGGTAAACAAAAATAATTTCACCAATATTCGGTAAAATTTTAACGAAGTTTCGGTAGTTTGATTATAAATTTGATGAACTCTGTAAAAAAATACCGAACGATCTGTAAAATAAGCCAAAACGCCGAATTCGGTAAAAAATTACCGAACAAACCGTAAATCACAAGCAATTTTACCGAAATTTTGTACTATCAAACTGTCAAATCTGGAGAGGCTTTATTTACTAGTGAATGGTAAATAGTGCATCCGGAATCAAGTGCAGCAGGTAAGGATAAAAATTCTTGACCACAATCAATGGATCACCGACATATTTCGTGAGTAACTGTTTATTTAGCAAATCCAATTATTTTCCAGGCATTTTCAGCGATAGCATCAAATCATGGTTATTTATCTGGACTGCATCGCATAACATCGGGCTCTAACACATTTCGGCGTCAAATACATTTTTTATTGCACGTATCACAAGTGCAGTGACGGTTTTAAAATTAAATAAAAACTGATAAATATTATTTCAAGACTTTTTAATTCAAATTAACTGAAAACAATAGTAAAATTAAAAAATAGTGGGAAAACCAGTTTAACAGAACAGTTCGGTAAAAAATTACCGAATCGCTTCGCAAAAAAGTACCGAATCGTTCGGTAATTTTGACAGCTCATCAAAAAATTGGTTTACCGAACGTTCTGTAGGCATTTCGTTTACCGAACTGATTACCGAACGTTCAGCTGTTGAAAGTTCGGTAAAAAATTACCGAGTACGGTAAAAATTTCTGAGTGTGAATACCTAATTCTGACCTGATACCAAAATTTGGTATAGAGAGTATTCGAGAGTCGAGTATTAGTACAAGACACTGAAGAGGTCTGCACGAAATACGGGTATCTGTCAAGGATAAGCAAATAAGGTAGATAAAATTAAATGGAAATTACTAACTTACTCTCTTTATACAAGTATTCCACTAAGACGACATCATCACTCATCAGGATTCAAAATTTGGTGTTGATAAGCATGACATAAGAGGTAAAATACCAAAGAATAATACCAAAAAATTGCATGCAAAATACTTTGTAAATGGCAAAAAATTATATTTTGATACCAAAAGAATACGTGCAAAATCAGTTTCTTACCAAATCAAATTTGTGGGAGGCTAATCAAGACCCAATTTGGAACCGTTTGAGCACTGTGGAGTGAACATTTCACATTTTGCCGAAGTCTAATGCTTAATCATGCTATCAATTGACGTTTGAGCGGTTTTGATGAGTTTTTAACTGGCATATTTTTGTTCTTGTGAGTATGAGTGCGTGAAAGTGCATGAGAATTTCATGCATGAGATTTTTTTGCCACATTTGCACGCGAGTTTATTCTTCCAGGGAGCAATGAATGAGATTTGAAAATGATTGGAAAATCGAATTGGAACATTTTTTGTGAGTATTCCACTAACAACCCAATCAATAAATTGTAAGCTTAAGTAATTTTTGCCACTTTAACAGCATTATGTAATGGGTAGCTGCTATCAGTGTTAAAAATTTACAATATACTTTGACTAAAGCTGAAATGAAAATAAAAAGTATCCCTTGGCATGACGTGTACGGCTACAAAAATCGAAACGATGAGAATCTCTTCTTAACGTTACGACTCAAGTTCAACTTCAACTCAAAAAGTGAGTCTTTACGTTCTTCCCACGTCATTGTACACAAGGACAGCATTCATCTCTTTTGTTGATTGAAACCGTTAATCTTCAATTAGATTTCCTCAGACTTTACAACATTCGGATTCTGAACACTTAAAACCCATTCGCTATGCGTTACACGCGTATGGCTGCTCAATACCTGTCATCTAGATAGTCGGGTAAGTAGAGATCATTTCCACCACAAACGTGAACTCACAGTCACTGACCTCACGTTTATATGGTTCCACGAGAGAGATAAGCCAACCAAGCAGAATGCACATACTGACCTCTGCCAAACTGAGCATGGGCGCCTCTCGCTGAAGCAGGTCACCTGTATCACGTTGAAGAAGACAGCTCCCAAAGTGTTTGAGGTTTCTGTGGGAAGTAAAGAAGGGAATGTTAAATGTTAAACTATTTCATTGGCATACCTATATGGTATAAAATCTAGATAAACATTTCACGCTCATTATCATTCGAAGCTGCTTACTATCGTTCAGTATCACGTGACCGAAACCAACGCAAGCTAAAATTAAATTTAACTGTTCAAATGTGCGCTATCAACTTGGAACGGGTACCAAGCACCAAGATCACATCGTGACCATGAAGATCACCCTTGTTGATTAATGGTGTTCACAGTGGAACCACGACCAGCATCATTCGAGTGGGCTAATAATGACACTTGGTTGCAAAGCAATATTTCTGTAACCTTTCCTACTGACTGAAGATGCGACCTTCATGAAAATGCACTAATGCACGATGACTGGTTTATTCGAAAATATCGACAATGATACTAAGGTTTGTAGGTACCTACCTGCATTGAGGGGTCTACATATTTATCTTTTCTCAAGTTTTAAACTGAGTCTTGAGCATTATAATAAACAAAAACAGTTCTCTCTAACCAAACAAATTGAACAAATCTTCGGTCGTGAATAGAAACAAAGGCACAAAAGAATCTACACTGCACTGCAAATGCGTCTTCAAGTAGGTAGCGTCATTGAGCGTCAATTGGTATTGGAACGTGAAGTATTTAGTCTGCGGATACTAACCGGTGTTGAGATTTTGTAAACATCTTCTAAACCTTGCATCACAGTCACAGTGCGATCTTGTGAATGCACCACGGTTGCACAGACCTCGACGGCACTCTCCCGGCAGCAGAATGTTCGGACACATGTCATGCTCACGACAGCACCGATCCTCGTCGGCATATCTGCCCACATCCGAATAGTTGGTCGCGATACTTCCTACAAATCAAAGAAAATAAAAGTGCTAAAGAACGATGATCTAATATGACGCGATGGGAAGTAACCATTGCATTACTCGGTCAAATGGCTCAGTCTAATGACACTGCTAGTTTTATAAGCACATCGGATTGACCGTTTATACGTGATAAACGATAATAAAAATCTTTTTAGCGTTTGGAGCCCTAAACGAGTGCAAGCTAATGAACTTGTGATCTTGAACCTGAAGACTAATTACAACTGTGGGGAACATGTCAAACATGGACAATCACGCGACAACCTAAATTAGTTACGCGGCTCATTCGTAAAATCAGGCAGGCGTAATCATGCATACATACATATGTTACACGTCTGCTACAAACCTACATAGGAGTTTCTCAGACACAGCCAAATTTCAGCTCATTGCGGAGGCTGTCGGCACAATTGATGATAAATGTATGTAGCGTTTTCATTAAGCCTTATTATTTTCCAATTTGGCAAGATAATTCCTAGAAGGATTTGAAAGTTACACTAGTAATACGTGCTACTGAGTTACAAATACAAATACAAATACGTGCTACTGAATTCTAGTTGAATCTCAACAATTAATTGAATTTCATTACGTTGAACAAAATGGCAATTCTGAAAAGTCGTCTAAATTATGTATGACTGCTTTCTCACCCCAGTAAACCAGGGTTCAATCCCAGCCGAAGCCGTTGAGATATTCTGAGATAAAAAAAATTGTGGTCACAGCTGGTCGATATGTAGGGTACAGATGAAGTCACCTCCCTGTCGTCGAATATTGGCGGAACAGATATATACACCCAACCAGGAAATGTAAGATTATTTTACAGATTTGCATAAAAAGCATGCAGACTTTGTAATGTTTCAGCACATAAACAGGTTCTGTAATGTGATCGTCGGAATTTGTTTTAATAATTTTTTGATTCTTATGTCAGCCAAATTTTTGAACATAGGTTGTTTACGGTTTACGGCTTTACGGCTTTACGGTTAGAAAATCATCTCGTGACAGTTTTCCGTATTTTATTCACAACATAAAGCACAGTCCAATGACTCAGCACTAGGGTGCTTCATTTTGACAAAAGAGAAGAATTTCTAATAGGTCATCCTCCAGTTCAATTTATAACCCTAAAAATGAACCTGTGCGAAAATTGGTAAAGATTGATGAAGGTTTAGAGGTCGCACGAATGATTTGAAATTTGTGTTGGATGAATTTAAAAAATCACTTATATCGCTCTAACTTTGCTTCTAATTGTTCAAATGTTGAAAAAATGAATAAGTTATTGCTACGGAAATGACCAAAAAGCTTATTGTTCGATAAGTTTTACAGCATATCAAGAAATATAGAAATTAAAAAAAATGACAAAATATGGTAAATTGACAGATGAATATGTGCAAGACAACAACATTTTTTTTTTCAACATTTGGACAACTACAACCAAATTTTGAGTAATGGCAAATGGCTCTAATGTTGGCCTATGAATATAATATTGGAACCCTTGCTAAAAAACTTCTATATACCAATTTTATTTTTTGGGACGGTTCTAATCGATATTTTTGGTCGCTATTGAAAATTTAGTCGATTGCTGAATTTATGTATGGGCTCAAATTAGGGGCATTTAGGCCAACATTACATCCATTTCCACTATAAAGGAAAATGTACAATTTATCATACTAATTCACCAGAATCTCCATACAAAATTCAAATTATTGGCGCAAAAATGGTAAAGATCGATAAAGCTTTAGAGCCTTTATCAATCTTTACCATTTTTTGCACAGGCTTATATTTTGGGGTTATGAATCAAACTGGAGGGTGGGCTATCATAATTTCATCATTTTTTTTAAATGAAGCACCCTACTCACCACCCATAGTAGTAAACACATCAGCATAGTAAAACACAATAGCGCAGCGGCTGCATGCAAATACAACAACAGCAACGCGCGTTCTTATATCGTTTCATTTATCAAAGCATGAAATAGTTTAGATCGTCAATAATTATTAATCGAAAAATATTTTAAAACACACAGATTATGCAACTAAAGGTCCCAAGCTATTATCGTGCAACGTAAAGGTGTATATAAGTACGTATAATCATTTTTTTTTAAAATAAAATTCGCCTTTACACATAGCGTGCGTCACTCAATTAGCGAACCACACAGCAAAAAAATAATTTTGATATCACATCAAAGTGGATGCACTACAATCATGTCGAAAATTTCATGTAATTTTTATGACCACATAAATAAACAAATGCAGTAAAAGCAGCGTAATGTCAGTTCATGCATTGTATTATTGATAATTTTGTCTTTTTTAGCAAGTAATATTACACCATATTTTCGACATGATTGTAGTGCATCCACTTTGACGTGATATCAAAATTATTTTTTTGCTGTGCAGTGACAATTGACAGCATTAAAAACATAACTGTAAACATGTTTTGTAGTCTTTTTAAATTACATATTTTTAGCATCATACATAAATTGTAGTTGCACGACTGAACTCCGTTAATATCAAAGTCGATATAATCAAAGCCTGGTGAAGAGAAACATGTCTCAGCGAAAATTAAAATAAATAGGTCATCAAGGCAGCGTTTACCATTTTGGCCCCAAAAAACTCTTTTCTGTAACGTTTATTACGATGGTTCCACACAAGCGTTACGTATTTTCCATGTGATCCGTAATTTACATAATCAAAATAGTAATACTTATTCTAATCATTTTCGAAAAAAATATTACACGATCACAATACTTCTACTGCAAAATTGGTTCCAATTTTTGACAGTTCTAATTGGTTCCTGAAATTATATCCGCCAGACAATCAATATACACGCTATTTTCAAAAATACCCAAATGTGAGTAAAATCCACCCAGATTGGTCAAAACTGAACCTACCCAAAAATCAGTACTCAGCTAAGTTGGGAGTGACTACTTGACAAATGAACAGCCTCGATAGGATTCAGGTTGATGTTGTCCATTTGTCAACTTAACGCAGCCCCAACTTAGTTTACTCATTTTTGTGTTTTGACCGATCTGGGTGGATTCTACTCACATTTCAGATGTTTTGAAATAACGAATACACGGCCGCTGAATTCAACTATAATTTGAGTTCCATTCACTTAAAATCGCAAAAACGCAGATCGCAAAAACGCAGACTGAGTCTTTGAACATGGTTTGGGGCTGTTCATAAACTACGTAGACATTTGGGGGGGGGGGGGTTGGTATTTATCCGCGGCCCATACAAATTAAAAAAAATGTATATACAATTGTATACGCAGGGGGAGGGGGGGGGGTCAAGAATCCTGTTTTTCCAGAGTAACTTTTGAAATAGGCGAATTAAAAAAATTATTATATAATTTTTTTTTTTAATCATAACATGAAAATTATTGATTTGATCAAAATGAACGAAAAACTCAGTCAACTCATAGTAAAAAACATAAAACGTTGATTTTCTCAAAACGCCCTCGCCCCCTCTATTTATATATAGCTGAAGTAAGGCCCTTAATTAATAATTTATTTGGATTGACGCATATTTTTTGATAAATTTTCTCATATAAACTTCACTTCGCCAATGAAAAAAACAATGAAAAAAACCGAATTAAAACAACATGTTAATTCCTCGTGTAACGTCAGCTAGTAGTAGTTTTTTTTTTTATTAAATTTGTTTTCAAGGCATACCTATTATAATTTATATAACATAGACAAAATTGTAAAAAATAACACCTAAGGCAACTATTGTAAAACGGTCTACACTGATTGACGACAAATAAAATAAATAAATATAAAAACAGATAGAAACAGACAAGTCTAACAGCCACTATATCTGAGAATGATTTGTTTGTCATTTAATATGCAATCATGGAAAACACATTTTGTTGCTGGACATCAGGATTAGCATTATAGCATTATAATTCATTTCTGTATTACACTCTTTTTAAAAAGTAACTTTACTCTTGAGAATAAAAATTATATTTAGATGAAAAATGCAGCGTAGCAGCGAACATGTGAGCAATGTTTCATTAAAATAATGACTTTGCAGTACCGTAAAACGGGGTAATATTGATAGTTTTTTAAAGTATATTCGAAATAATATTTACAGCAATGAATGTTTTTACCCTTCTTACAAAGAAGGGTATAGATATCACTTGAAAAACCGACTATCGATCCGAGGCCCGGAGGGCCGAGTGTCATATACCATTCGACTCAGCTCGACGAGATCGGAACATGTCTGTGTGTGTGTGTGTGTGTGTGTGTGTGTGTGTGTGTGTGTGTACGTGTGTATTAGACCTGTTCATTTTAAACGAAATGTTCGGAATGTAACGGGTCAACCGTGATTACTGTTCGTCATGTTAATTTGAACTTTTGTGCAAATTTTCAGCAAAATCGGCGTTGATTTAGAGGTGCTTCTAGTTAATTTTATGTTTTCAAGGTAATTTACGGCTTATAATATTTGTATCTCGAGACTGAAACAACGAAAGCTGCTGTAACAACTTTCATAGCAAAGCTTAATGTGTTATCTACCAACTTTGTGGTCAAAAGTTGACTATTCGAAGTGATTTTATTGAATTTTCACTTAGTTTCATGCTCGAAGATATCTTAAAATGTGAAGAATTTTAAAGTATTTGTTCTACGAATTTTCCACCCATATGATATAAAAATGTGTAGTGTACGGCATAAGGTTCCTCATATTGTTCTAGAAGTTTCGTTCCAACATAGTTTTCGTGTATATTTCATAGATTGAGAGATAAAAATCAGAAAAGAGGCCGTTTAGCTAAAATTCACAAGACAACAGAACCAATAAAAGTCAATTAGATTGACAGAACATAGTTGCATTGCTTTTCAATGACGACCGATGACTGTTTCATTGATATATGATTTTTTCATAAATATGAATCCTCAGTAGACGTGTTTTTTTATCAAAGGCAAGTGTCACTCGAACCATAACAGCAATTTATAAAATAACGAACATTTTGAATGGCTCGAGTGACACTTGCCTTTGATAAAAAAAACACGTCTACGTCTGATTAGCCTCCCAACGTTTGAATACGTTTGGTTAGAAACTGACTGAGTTCAAACCATTTGAAGTTTGTATGGGAAAACAAACTTTTTGTTCATTGCCTTCTACCCTTTTTCTATGTTCCTCTGAAAAATATTCGACATCTTTTTTTGTAGGAAATTTTCTAAGATACAACTTTACTCAAGAGTGTTTTTTAGTCAAACGACAAATGAAATAGTTATTAAGCAGCTTTATTGGCAACAGTGTTACGTAGTAGCATTATCGTACTCTGCTTCAAGCTAAAATTTCTAGAAAGGCCAATGAAGTCTGTTGAGCTGTTGATTGAGCATGATCATAAGACAACAGCGTCTTGAACAGTTTATAGCTTTTGTTTCTAACACTTAATTTAAAAATGGCAATGGAGCAAAGTTGTTGCTAAGCAAATTTCAATTATTTTGCAGACAATTATGGTGAATTGTTAGAAAGAAACGAACAAAAAAAATATTTTCAGATGCACATATAAACTTCAAATGGTTTGTACTCAGTCAGTTTTAAACTAAATGAGTTCAAATTTTGGGAGCATAATCAGGACCCAATTTGGAGCACTGTGGAACAAAGATTTAAAATGTGCATCATTCTATTGGACACTATCCTGAATGCTAATTACGTAGTCAGATTGAGGATTTCTTCATAATTTGACGCATGGAGAACAATAACCAAGCGTTTGTACACTTGTCTGACATTGACAAACACATAATCCAAAAGTGGTCGTATAAAAATGCAATTTATGAATCTATATACCCTACCTGGTCCACACCACTTCGTTCCCGGATAGATAAATCCAAGGCCACCTTGTAGTTCACCTGAAATTCCACTAGCCTCGTTGCATACCTCCTCTAGGGCCATCACCGATTCTCGTGGCACCTGTCGCACCTTCTTTGCATCAAAGGCCAACAGCATCCGTTGTATGTCGCCTCTTTTCGCGAAGAATATACACAGGAACAAGCATGCAGGAAGAAACAAAACGTTTTTTATCACTGTCGTTCAATATTTCGCAGTTATGCGACCTTGAGCTGTGTGAGATGCAGAAGAAGCAATGAAAGAAATGGAAAAAAAATAGTTCGATGATCGTGGGCCACAGTCCTCTTAGCGTTCAATGAACTGGTCGCTCCAGCTAAAGTTTGCTGGTTGAGCTTGAACCTTCGATGATGGTGAGTAATATCACATTCGGTTCCCTGGGGGGCAGTTTATATTATAGTCAGGGCTTTGCAAAGCATAGGTTTATCGTTATCGCGTTATAGTTTGGTTTCAATATTGGTGTATCGGATTTCATTTTATCGATATTGGTCCGATATCCGATAATTTTATTAAACTTTGGTTCAATGGTAAACAAGTCCTGTAGTTTACTAATTGTTAAAATGATCCACGCAAAAATTGTTTATTGCTATCCTCAATGTCTCAAAACATCGATATGACGATATGACCCGATAATATCAATATTATCGATATCTGCTTACCTCAAATTGTAGCACATAACACATGTGGAACTCGATCATAAAAAATCCACCCTATTTCAGGGATTTCATCGATAGGATAGGATAGGACATCGATCTCTGTCAAAATGATTATACCAGCTGTAAAATGAGAATGAGGATCAAGGGGGTAATCAATTATATTAAAATGAATACTCCATAATGATACTTGAAAAAACCGCAATGGTGGATAATAATTCGTCAGACTCCTTTTTTGATTTCAGTAAGGCAGACTATGGAGCTATGAAAAATAAATTGAACAGTATAGATTGGCAACTTGTAATCCGTAGTCATGATGGAGAACATGCAGTTGATGTATTCCATCAGATTATTTATTCTATTCTAGAACAGACAGTGCCCATGAAGCAAAAGAAAAATGCCAATGCAAAAACACCAATATGGTACAATAGACAGATAATAAATCTTAGAAATAGGAAGCAGAAAGCTCATAAAGCGTACAAGAAAAACAAAAATGATGAAAATTTTACCTATTATCTTACCATTTGTGACCAACTTAATTTAGAAATTGAAAGTGCATATGAAAAGCACAATAGAAAGATTGAAATTAACATTAAGTCAAACCTAAAATCCTTTTTAAACTATGTTGAAGAAAGGCAAAAATCCAAGAGCTTTCCATTAAAAATGCAATCAGACAGTAGGTTGGGCAATACTCCTAGTTAGATTAGTAACTTATTTGCTGACTTTTTTCAGTTATACAAGTTATACAATTAACGATGAGAATGAGCAAGATTATCAATATTTTTCGTATCTCCCCGAGCCAATGAAGAACATCGCAGTTGATAATTTAACTCTCAAGGAAATTATACGTGGATGGATTACCACCTATTTTTTTAAAGTAACTTTCGAAGGAATTAGCAAAACCTTTATGCTGGCTGTTTAATATCCATGAAGTCGAGTATACTTCCTCCGATTTGGAAGGAATCATTTTTAATTCCAATTTTTATCAAGTGTCAAAAAGTATGAAAAATCACCAAGATTATTCGAATCCATCTTTAATGACAATATACGGACGCAAAAGGTATGATTTGAAAGAAATCTGCCCACCATAGCTAATGTAACATCTGGTGTGCCACAAGTTTTACATCTTGGTCCATTACTGTTTATTTTATTTGTCAACGATACAGAAAATATTTTGAAATTTCTTCATAGAACATATTTTGAAATTTTGAATGATTTTTTAATGATTTAATGATAGAAAATAAAGTTGGTCGTTTTCATTGATTCCTTACGGATAACGGTCATTTGAATTTTTACCGACTTTTTCAGCAATTCAAAAACCCAGTAAAAAAATACTGACTCCTGTAAAAAAATCTTAGTGTGTATGTGAGGCCTCTTCTAGCATAGCTATAGTAGCATAGTTTGGGCTCCATATCATGATACACATGTAAACCGCATTCAATCAGTTCAAAAGCAGGTCTTGTTGTTTGCTCTTGGGTTGGACGAGTTTTCTACTGCCATCTTATGAATCGCGTTGTATGCTAATTAATTTGGATGAGCTCAAAAAGCGACAAGAGTTCGCAATGATTGCTTTTATAAACGATGTGATTTCGCAAAGAGTTTACAGCCCAGAGATTTTGGAAAATATTAATTTCTATGCTTCCACTCGCTCACAGCGGAATAGAAATTTGTTTAGCATCAACAATCAAAGAACAAACTATGCCACAAATAGCCCATTGAATAGAATGATGTCTTGCTATAATACATACTGTGAATCTATTTACATAACAATGAATAAAAGTACGCTTAAAAATTCTTTCTTCACGAGGTTAGCTAAGCATCAATAATAAAATATAAATGTTACACAAGTACTTCAAGTAAAATTGTAACAATCAGCGTTTAAGTAAAACTGTAAAACGGTCTACACTGATTGACGACAAATAAATAAAATAGAATAAAATGAAAAATAAATAGGGGAAATGGATGTAATGTCGGTCTAAATGCCCCTAATTTGGGCCCATTCATAAATTCAGCAATCGACTAAATTTTCAATAGCGACCAAAAATATCCATTCGTACCGTCCCAATGAGGCGTTCATCTAGATACAATTGATAAATAGCAGACTTTTAGCGATGGGCCCAATCTTAGATCCATAGGCTAACATTAGAGCCATTTCCCGTAAATAAAAATAATTCTAACGTGGTTTATATTTCTGTCTTCTAAGCGCTGTTGAACCCATGTCTTTTACGATTAACGTCCTCACATTATAATTATTATAGCTAGAATAAATTTATTCACTCAGTAAAAAATATATATTAATATCCTTCAAAGAAATATTTCGTGCTGTAATCGTAAGTTGATGTACTAAAACCCAGTGAACAATATTCCAACATTCCACAAAATCCAAACGAATAATGCGCCATGGTGGTTTTATTACACCTATTCGACGCAATCGTGTCTTACCATCAAATTTTCGAATGGTTTGCATTCCGTAATGAATCCATTTCCTTTCAACGGTGCTGGATCATTAGGTCGAAGTACGTTAGGCCGAATAGGTCATTAGCACCTGCGGAGTCAATCGATTTTATTTTACAATGGAACCTGCTTGACAATTTTCACTAGTAGCAAATTGATTTGCTCTACTCCACTTGAATCCCACCAAATGAACCAGGATTGTTCGAGCCCCCATGACCAGTGCCGTATTAACTCGATTGATTTTAGTAAACCAGAACTGGAAACCAGAAAAAAAGATGAGTTGTACAAACTAATTGTTGAAATATGGACTGAACCCAAGTTTAATCAAGGTTTTAAAGCAATCTCAGCATACAACCAAAATTTCTATTTGGGAAATTGATTGGTTGGACCACCAACTGCTCAAAATATTTAGATTAAAATGAGTGCAAAACAAATTGAGGGATACTACATACTATACCAGACTTAATTGGTTACTTATCATGAATATTGAGTACGAAATATTGATGACAATTGATATCAACACTTCTATTATCAAATTCGCAACTATGAAGAGTCGTAAACATATTTAGTTTATTCAGTATAAATGTGTGTTAAAATAAAAGCAGGTTAGAAAAATAAATTTAAAGGAAAAATGGTAGACGCAAGTACAGTTAAACAAAACCCCCCCCCCCCCCCCGAGTGAGTTGATATATTTTTACCGATGAACCTGCATGTTTTTCTAACCATATGTTTGGCACACAAACAAATACCTCTGAAACCTGCAGTAGGAAATGCTTTTCTGATGTACGAAATTAGTTTATAAATTGCATGCTTGGTTTATCTTTTAGAATTAAAATTAGATTAAAAATGCAAATTATCAATTCTGGGGTGAAGTTGATCATGTAGATTTTTATGCAATACAATATTCAGAAATTAGCAGTTATACTTCATTTTTAATCGCTGAAGAGGTGTTGAAATGTTATCAAAAGTTATGATTTACGAAAAACCTGCATATTTTTGTACGAAATAGCAAAAAATCCGCTTAAGCATCGAAAAAACGAACCAATAATCTTTGACTTTGTCTTTTTTGAACGTTGTCTTGCTCATGTACTGCACATGAAGAATCTCGGTGTTATCCAGGATTGGTAACTCATATTCAGAATCCACTATAATGATATTGTTGCCCGAGCTAATCGTCAATTGAGTTTTTTTTTAAATGTCCAACGAATTCCATGATCCACTCTTCGTTTTATCAGTTGGCGTGACCCAACGAACCTGCCACCGTACGAGGAGCGTTCCGTCTCCTGAGCATCAAACCGCTGGAGGTGAGGCGGACGGTCGCTCAAGCTATGTTCGCTGAAAAGCTGCTTATAGGTGGCATCGACTGTTCAACATTGCTGGCACAGCTAAATCTGTACGCCACCGAGAGACCTCTTCGTCCATGTGATTTTCTATTTTTGGAACCACGGAGCAGAAATTATGCACTACATGAGCCAATTCGATCAATCAGCCGGCAGTTCAACAGCCTTTTCGGTGTGTTCGACTTCAATTCATCAGCTGACCTGTTTCGTCATCGCTTGGCCTCTTTCGTACCGTTGACCGTAACTAATTAGTCGTTGTTTTATTCATTTAGACATTAATTGTCAGTTGAATCATTAATAAACAAATAAATAAATATTGAGTGAGTCTGTAGTACCCAGATTAGCACTCCAAAAGAGAGAAAAGGTGACATGGGAGCCAGGTGGAATAGAGGTCACTCCCGCCTCAGTGGCAGTCCCATCTCATTGGTGCTCCAGGCCAAACAGTGCTTCTGCCCCACTATTGTTCTCATTCTACGGGTGTTCCAGTGCAACCTGCACTCCTGCCTTACCAGGGCAGCTTCACTGGAGCTTCCACTCCACTTGTGTTCCTACTCAATTAGTGCTCCTGCTCCATTGCCACATCCACCCTATAGCCACTCGAAAGAACTAAACCAAATTTTAATATTACATCTAAGAGGATGCACTTCAATCAGTCATGTCAGTTCATGCACTGTATTAATGATAATTTTGTCCTTTTTGGCAAGTAATATTACACCATATTTTCGACACGATTGAAGAGCATCCACTTTGATATGAATTTTTTGCTGTGTACTGGTTAACCCTCTCCTTATCTTCTTTCCATTGTAGCACAACTTTTTGGTCCGTCGCATGTTTTTCAATCTTATTAAATAGTCAGTACTCATTTAAGCTTCTCCGTGTACTCACTATTTTTGATTTTTGTCCATATGTGTTTTTAAGAAATCAACTGAGCAACTGTTGAAAAACATTTAAAATACTACTGTTTTTAAGCAAACACTTTTTTTTAACGGATTCGATAACTTTCGGAAATAATAATTTCGGAACACAAAATTCTAGCACTTTTTTCAAATTCACATTTTTGCATCTTAAAACATAAAACAACGAAAAACATTCTAGGAAGAAAACACAGCAAAACGTTTTGAATTTTAATTGTGATGTAAACATATATGCATGTAAAGTTGTATTCCATTTCACGCAAACCAGTAACTTTCATGAGATGTTGCTTGCACAGATGCACGGTTGCATATAATATTTTAACGTTTCATGGGATATCTCAGAACTTTACACAATTTATAATGTAAAATTGTATGATATGTGACGCTCCATTTATGTGCATCACATTGAACAGAAATTTACACTACTTTTTCGAACTGTGAAGAGTTAAAAGAAGGAAAAAAACTCGATGAAAAACTTCTAGGAATAAATGATGAAGAAAACTCAAAGTACAAAAAACTTATAAAAAGAAGAAAAAATTCCATTAAGCCTTCTATTGACCCATTTGGCCTAATGTACTTCGGTCTAATGACCTGTCACCCCCATCAACCATGGCGAAGAAACGAAGCTATGTTGACTTGAAAATACTAGTTTAAAAGTCCACCTGTTGAGCTAGTCGAAAACAGAATGGCAGCATTACCTTGACAATATTGACAATTCGCCTTGAAGGCCACTCTGTAAATCTTTATGATAAAATCCTGTTAGAAAACGTCAGTCTGTGCCCCTAAGACAAGACAGGACATCTGGCTGCTTTTTATTCTGCCACGCAGGTTCTTCATTTGCTTAAGCAGTCCCAGTTCACACAGTAATTTTGCACACATTTCAATTATAAAAACAATCTTAAACTTGAAAATCGACCAATTAGCGAATGGATCCAAAACTGGATCCAAATCTATACCCCAGTTGTCTACTCTAGGTGTGTGCATACAACATGATGGACATTTCCTTACCCTTTCAATCCAGTGAAAATAAGATACTCTCAATCTTTGTGTGAAGAGACGGTAAGACAAAGTCTGCTAGATTACATGCACATATGGGATTTGTCCATAGGAGTAAAGAGTTCCGATGACGTCAATGCTTGCTGAGCATGACGCATTTCTCTGCTTTTATTTCATAAGGGCCTGTATCGCAAATGCAAGCCATGGTTTTTTTGAGAATTTAAAACTAGCTCTAGTAAACCATGAGCGTGTAGAGGGAGAGTCAGGTGGACCGATAGAATTTGTGCACAGCAAAAAATAAATTTTAATATTACATCCAAGAGGATGCACTTCAATCATGTCGAAAATCTCATGTAATTTGTATGGCCACAAAAATAAACAAATGCAGTAAAAGCAGCGTAATGTCAGTTCATGCACTGTATTAATGATAATTTTGTCCTTTTCGGCAAGTAATATTACACCATATTTTCAACACGATTGAAGTGCATCCACTTTGATGTGATATTAAAATTAATTTTTTGCATTGGCTCACATGAATGCTCAGTTTCGATATCAAGAAAATTTTATTTTGACAGGATGTTTAAGTTTAATCATACCAGTTATACAACTTAGGCAATGCGAAAAAGGGGTCAACTTTTAGTCAGCTGTTTTGCATGTAGTTATATCGCGCAGTTATGCGACCTTCAGTGGTGTGAGATGTAGGAAGCAATGAAAGAAAGGGAAAAATAGTTCGATGCTCGTGAACCACAGTCCTCTTAACGTTCAATGAACTAGTCGCTCCAGTCACAGTTTGCTTGATGAGCTTGAACCGTCGATGACAGTCAGTAATTCGCATTCGCTTCCCTGGGGGCAGTTTATGTTATAGTTACTGATCTCGACTGAACGACTAAATGAATGAAAGCATGTGTAAAGCAGAGCGAGCATGATTATGCGATACTTACCGATCTAAGTGAATCTTGCAGTATGGAGGACGGCTACTGAGTTCAACCATTCTGGACATCGTCAAATCAGCCACTAGAACTGAACTGCAAATCGCTCTCGCTATAAGCAAGGAAAGTAAAAACGATACCAACGCTTCGACATTCATCTGAAAGAGTAAAAAATAAATTTCAATTCACAGGTTAGAATTAGTCAAATATAGTAGATCGGACAACATCCCAGTTGCACAGGCTCAAATTTTAGGGTTATTAATCAAAATGGAGAGTGGCTCAAATGCTTTGTTCAAAATAAAGCACCATAATGGAGCAGTTTGTATCATTTTTAAAGTCATAAACGATTGGGTTGATTTTATTCAAACACTGACAATTGGTCAGGGGGGCGACCCCGGCGTAGTGGTTAGCATCCATACCTCTCACGCCAAAGTCACGAGTTCAAATCTCACCCCCGGACAAGTCACGAATGACCCAAGAGCGTTAAAGTGACTATAATATAAAAAAAAAAAAAAAAAATAAAAAAAAAAAAAAGACAATTGGTCATTTGTGCTTCTAGCTACATATCATGTATCATATGGTAATTTATCTAAATGCAAAATCCCCCCATTCAAAATCTTTGGAAACCTTGAGCAACATTTTGACAAAGTTGTTTTGTATAGTATTCTCAATATAAGTCCGAAATTTGAAGAAATCTGAACATTATTTGTATTTTTGGTAAACATATGAATAAGATCGTTCCGTTTCCCATCACTTTCCCGTAAAATAATTAAAATTCTCACGCAAATCCAGATCACAACCAAATTCGTTCAAATTTTACATCATTGTTGGGTACGTCAGTACACATCGGAAGAGCAGTGGAGAACCATACAAACATGACCCACCCTAGTATACATCGTGTAAAATTCGTAAACTTTCATTACACTCCAATGTCATGTCTGGTATTTTTACGATAGTGGATATGTTTACGATGCGCATAGTGAATAGCCCAATTTTTATAACAGATGACAAAGGATTTTGTGAATACTTACTCAGTTCTTTTAATTTTATTCATATGGATTTAAATGCTCAAGTAAAAGCTTTAACGTATGCATTTTAGCAAAAAAAAAAGCTTTTTCTCACTTTATTTATATAACCTACACTAAAAAATAGGGTAAAAATCATTATGTTCGACCCAAACTACCCAAAAATGTTTCGTGCCGTGAGCAACCACTTAGGCATTCGATTTCTCATCAAAAAAGCTATTTTAAATCACGTTAGCTATTGCTATCGGCACCTCAGATAGCCTAGTCGGTAAAGGATCGGTATTTCCAAGCCGGAGGCGATGGGTTCAATTCCCGGTCCGATCGAGGAAATCATTTAAATTTTATCGACTTCCCTGGGCATAGAGTATCATTGAGCTTGCCTAACAATATACAAATTCATGCATTGGTTGGCATAAAAAGCTCTCAATTTATAACTGTGGAAGTGCATCTCTAAGTCGAGAGCCGGCAAAAGGCTCACAATAAAATCAAAAAAAAAACTAGAAGAAATGTAGCTAATGCAATTCAATCTCTAATCGCTCTAAAAGCCAATATACTATTTATGATAGTACCACCTATCTTGGCTAACCAATAGTCTAAACAAAAACAAGCTTCGACTCCGATTGTCGGCAGTGTCAATGATTATTTATTAAATTGCTCTGGACTATCTCAACTGATTGCTCGCAAAAGTTACTCAAGGACAAGTTGCATACTCTTTTTTTTTCAGCACCATACAACGGATGAGCAAAGTGTGGCATAGGTACTGCATAATTTGCGTGGTTCTCGTCGAAGAGAGGAAATAAAAAATATTACTTCACCATGTCCGCATCGAAATTTGCGTCTGCCCGAGAGGAAACCCATCGCTTTCATTAGAATAGATGGAATCGCTAGACCGGCTGACACCTCAATCCGCCCTCTTGTGCAAAATGCGCCCAGTCATACCGCCGGCTGGTCGTTGTGTCGGTTGTGGTGCGCGTAAAATCAGTCCGCTGCGCTCTGTGGCGAAATGTTTTCGCGCCATCCAACGAAGCAACGGTGGACGTCGGAATTCCATCGCTTGGATCCCGTCTATTCAATGGCTGACTTTCGAAAGAATGGAAATGTTGCAATAACAAATCTCATTTGTGTCACTTTCGAGTTCTATATTTCAAATCAAATTATTCACTTGTGCGAACAATTTGAACGTCATCTGCGAATGTGATGCCGAATTGAGTCTGAATTGGCATACACGCGTGACGTTTGCGTGGGAGTAACAGCATGCAATTTTCGGGAATAAAAAACATGAAGTCGCAGCATTTTGAGCCGATGCTCCTATTTTGGTCTAATCATTTAAACTTAAGATAGAAATGATGTCTATCCGAATTATCTCGGTCAATGAGTTACAGTGAAGTTTAAATTTTATCACGGTCAAAAAAACAAATTTTCGCGTGATTTATTTTTTTAACATGATTGACCTTAACATTGGAATAATAGTCAATCTTTACAAAAAGTACGATTCCTTGTTTTACCAAACGTCATGTACATATTAATTTATTGATAGTTATACAAAACATAACGAGCTTATTGCTGAAGTGATATTCTCACGATACGACTTCATAACTCGATGACAAATTATCAAGAAAACTGGCAACTCTTCCAACACTTGAGGGAAAGACACAATATATAGCGCTGTGCTTGAGCAAAGGTAAAACCACCGGACAAAAAATAGTAAATAAAACCTCTCTTTTGAGGTTGGCTTATCTTTTTCTTTTTCTTTAAAGATCGATACAAGGTTTGGTATCTTCACCATCTACTAATGTATTTAAAAGTAACTATCGGAAGTTATTGAGAACATTCTTAATTCCCATTAATATTTCCCGTTTTTGTTCGAAGTTATTTTTCGAGTTAATTTTTTTGTATGGAAAATAAGGATCGATCGTAACGGAAAATATGCTGGTGAGCTGAGCAGACAATCAAAACACCAAATCATGTTATGATTATTATTGTTACACTCTTGGATTTACCCATTGCTTGAAAATAGTGCATCTAATTTTCTTGGTGTCAAAAGGTAAGTTATAGTTAAATTTATGGACCTGCAACTTTTGCCGGAATTATTTTCAAAATATCTCGAACGGCTGCATTTAAGAAGTTGGTCACAGTCTGAGTTGTGCGGGGTCGATCACTTTCAATTTTTAAGTTAATTTGCCTCTCAACACCACTCACAAATTTGCGCCTTGAATGAGCCAATATTTTATAAATTTCGAAATAAGCTTTAAAATGGTTATCAAGTAGAAAACTGACCAATATCACGTCAAACGGCCGAATATGCTTTTGCTGATTTCCCTCAAACCCGTTTATGTTGTTGTTTAGTTTTTTTTTTTTGTTGGGAATGTTTACAATTAACGGCGCCGGTGGTGTAGTGGTAAGCGTGATTACCTCTCACCCCAGCAGGCCTGGGTTCAATCCCAATCGGCGCCGCCGGGATGTTCTGAGGCATAACATCTCTGATCACGCCTTCCTTCGGATGGGAAGTAAAGCCGTTGGTCCCCGGTTCATGAGTTGATGGGTCGATAGGTAGGGTCCAGGTGTGGGAGCTGCCTTCCTGGCACGTCGGTAGCATTGGTGTTCAGCACGGAAAACAAGATCGACGGAAAAAACAAACCAAAGGAAAAAAAATGTTTACAATTATTAGTGATTATTGCAATCAATGCAATTATTGCAATTTTACAGACCTATATCATAGTAAACATTTCAAAGGGGCGAAAATGCATTTGTAAACAATGGCTTTAGCCGTCGATTTCTCGCGAATTTAAGGTCATACATGCAAATTAACGACACCATCCGGTAAAACAGCAATTCCACTTAAAAAATTTTGGTATCCATGACAGATATGTATTTCGACTACAATGTGCAGTCTTCATCAGTGTCATTCCCACTAAAGACTTATCAAAATCTCATCCCCTAGGTAAAAATTTCAAGGTCACAGGTATAAAAATGAAACTACAATGTGTAGAATCCGAACCTAACTAACTAACCAAAGGTTTTAGTAAAGTAAAGCAGAAAAATCTATTCAAATCTCTAATAAGGAAAAAATATGTGTAGATTAATGTTTTCTCTGCCAGCCGGCATGGTTGAAGTCATTGTTTACAAAAGCAGTTTCACCCTAGTGAAATGTTGGCACTGATATGTTGTTCTTCTCAGATGCAATTTCGTTAAAATCAACGGTTTTCGAGTTATGATTTTTTTTAGTAAATAATTGAAAACACATAGGGTAGTGATACCAATTATGGCCCTACGTTCCAATAATGCACCGTTTGAAGAATTTATGTAAATTTCTGCGAGATATAGCGCACATAAAATTAACGCTAGATTTGGCGTAAATTTGCACGATTTTTAATTATCAATATTGTATGCAAGCTTGTAAACGATTTCCTTGTTTATGCCAACTGAAGCTAAAATTAAACGAGGGGAGATTCTACGTGATAGTTAAAATTCAGAATTTTTTCTGTGTGGTGTGTTCCAATTATGGCCTATGGAATTCCAATTATGACATATGGGAATTTCATAGGCCATAATTGGAACACACCATAATAAGAACGTATAGCCACGCTTTTTAAAACATTAGTCTTATGGATTATCAATTTAAAAGTGCCAATCAGAATTTGTAAACAAACCGTTTTAAAGCCCTTTTCTCACAAAGCAAAGGCCACCCACGCAAACCAACACCATTATCGTGTAAGGTAAACTTTCTCCTATCCGATGATGGTGTTGGTTTAAGCTGGCGGTCTTCGCTTTGTGAGGATACGGCTTTAGAACGGTTTGTTTACAAATGCTGATGAGCCCTTTAATATTGTTGATCCAGTCTTGAGTCGAAAGGGCCTGTTCATAAACTACGTAGACAGTTTTTTTTGGGATTATTGACCCCCCCTCCCCCTGCGTAGACAATTGTCCATACAAATGTTTTTAAATTTGTATGGGCCATGGATAATTGTCAACCCATTTTTATAAAAACATTTAAGCTTGTGAAAATCAAAATCTCGGTTTTTACACGGTTTTTTACACGGTACATATCCCGCGTTGTAAAAAAGGCCTGAGTGTAAACTATTATTGAAACAGAGTAATATTATTGCAAAGATCTTTTTTTTTTCAATTTATCA